ATGCAATTATTTGCCAGCAACTTATATGCAAATCGCTGTTGTATGGAAAACACAAAAATAGAAAACACAGATGACATAATGAATAATATTATGAAAATTTGAGGTATTCATCTTCTCGAGAGATCCGAATCTTCACTCTATACAGTCTCTAACTCGCACCCTTATTTCATTTCAGAGAATCCTTTAATCAGCAACTTAAGGGATCCCGCGGTCTGCAGTTTCGTATTTGAATGGACGAGTGATTGCTAAGCCGTACCGCTTTGATATTCACAAATCCATAACCGCTGACGTATTTTCAACGGCTTACCAAACTCAATACTCCTCAATACAGTAATCAAGTCGGTGTAATTACGTCATGCGGTTAAATTCACGATATTCCACGTCGAAAGCTGTCATTACCACGGTTTATGAGACGTCAGTCGTACCCACGCACTGTTTGAATGGTGTCGAATTTACTTTTTTGTAGTAAATTTGTCATAATTTTTAAGTTCACATTGGGACATACAAATGTGGTTTGAATGTCTAAGATATTATATAAATTTTAATAATACGATTTATTAAAGATGGTTGAAATCAATTAGCTAATACCCGCGATAATTTTCAGCATCTTTATTACGTTTCGGTGGGACATGCCTAGGATCTAAATATACCATTTAAACATTGAAAATGAAAATACTTTTATCTAATTATTGGTGATTTTAATGCTATCTCTATCAAAATTCCACTGCTGGAGATGGGCCTTCCTCATAAATTGGCTCATATTTGCCACCCACAGTTTTTATTATCGGACTATGAGAGTGGGGGAATAGAGAGTGAGTACTATAAACCTGTCCTACGCAGATGGCTACTTACTACTTTCCTTTGAGCCTGTCCGTCGTGACCGAAATTTGATTTATAGGATATCATGTATACTCCAACATATCTTTATATGTAAACACTCTTAAGGCCTACTACTACTTTTGCCTCTTAAGGCCTGTATTCACTTTATTGACACAGATTAGTGCGAGTGCAGGTGATTAGTAATTGCGGGTGATTAGTGCAGGTGTGTAATGTTTGTAGTGTCTAATTCTGTTTAGTGGCTATGTTTAGTAAATTCGGTTGTCAGCCGTTGACCAACAAGTACTCTGTTTAACTTTCTTAACCTCTGGCCAATATGTAGATCTCACGTTTCTTATTTGAGTATAAACTTCTTTACTTCCGAACCCCAGTACGTTCATAGCTTCATTTATACGTCGAAATGCCAGATCACAGGCTCCTTTAATTTTGCAGTTAGGATATTTACTATTGTTAAGACATTCATGTTTTAGATACTCGTACACAAATTTATAGGTTATGTCTTCTGTCCACTTTGCCATGCTCGCTTGTTTTGCAAAAATGTGAATACAGGCCTTAAGCGATATTGTACCTACAATTGTTTAAATGGTTGAAGAATAACAAATGCTCATATAATTAGAGACTGATTCATTCCATAGACTTTAAAGTTCACAACGCATCTACATCTTTCTTTTTTTCTTTTTAGGAGTCGACTGCTGATGTCCAATTTATATAACGCTGAAGAATTAAATTTTTGAATAAATTATTTATTACTACAAAGGGTTTTCTGTCTTTTTAGTTAATATTCTAAATAAAAGCTTTCATTTGGCATGCGAAAGCTATCATGGCGCTTTAGCGAAGGAAATCGCATTTCCGATTCCGCCTTTCAAATCACATTAACTCGGCAAAGTTTTTTAACCCGCCTCATTCTGTCCCACCCCACTGTAAACATTCCGGACAAGAAACGGAACCGTGTCGGTCACCAATAAAACGCTAATTTTTCCCTTAGGTGTAAGCTACACTAAACATTAGAAGAGAAAGCGTAATATAGCTAACGGCCGCTTTCACTTTACCGGCGTCATAGTCCTTATCTTTAACGTACCGCCATCAGAAGTGATTATTAATTTTGAGCATTAGGTGAGTCTTGTGATTCAGCTATCTGTTTTAAGCTCTGAAGGTTTATATCGTTCTACTTCTATCAAGTACTTTAGTTAATTTGTACTGATAAATAATCTGATATTTTAAATAATATAATATATTATAGTTGACACTTATGTTATATTTTCATTATTATCTACCGTAAACATCATCACTATTATTATAATTTCATCGCATCCCAAGTATACTGCTAAACAAAGATCTTACCCAAGTAAAGCCATAAAAATGGTCTTAAGCTAACTGCATCGATCGATTTCCTGCAGTAATTTTTTTAGACTAGACGTGACAAATAAACTTACAGTCCACCTGTTACGGGTTACTACAGCCTAATGTCATACCTACAACCAAATTTAAAAAGAAAAGACTTAAAGATTACTAATTATACAAAAATGAAGACTAATTATACGGGCTCTTTATTTTTTTATAGGAGAGGGGGCAAACAAGCATACGGCTCACCTGATGGTAAGTGACTGCCGCCGCCCATGAACAACTGCAATACCAGGGGAATTGCAGATGCCTTGCCGGTCTTTTAAAAAGGAGTAGGCTCAGACCAAAACTGCAGCAGTACTGGCACCACTATTTGGCGACAGTAATAGGTAAGAGTTGACACACCCGGCGGATTCCTAAGCAAAAAAGGAGTCCTTCTACCGAGTAAGTCAATTCTTCCTTTCTGGGTTTCAGTTCTGAATTTAGTTTAACTGCTAAATACTGATCAATTCCTGCTTACGAGCATACAAACTATAATAGGTTTAACTATAGCATGATTTACTTTATGTGCTAATTATAATAATGAAGATGAACGTATAGAGTCCATGTAGACTTTAAAATTCATGTAGATCCATTCAAATAAATATTTATGACACTTGATTCAAAACTCAAAATTGAACAACTTTTACTTAATTTTTTTTCTAAAAACATTAACTCCACATTAGGATTTTCCCCTGTATTGTGGAGGTAGTTTATATACAAGGACAAACATCCAGACTCGGAACAATTAGGGTAAAATCGGGTAATGGCGGTCAGATGGTAATACCGGTCAGCACACTTCCAATTATGTTACGATTTTTATAAGCACGCACACATACAAAGCGGGTGGCGTGACTATTCTCCTCGCAGGAGCGCTGAACTCCGTTCAATTCCATGCATGCGTTTGGGAAGAAGGCACGTCGAAAGTTTTCGCGGCACTTTGTTGTAAAATTTTGCGGTCCGAAAATAAGAAGTAAGTAAATTTTACTCGAGAGTTTTCAAATGTAAAGTTAATAAAAGTATTGCCTAACTTTTTGTGCGCAATCGTCAAATCAATCTTTGTTGATTAGCCTGCAGATTTTTAAATAAATTTTAAATATTTAGAAATGAGCCGTGGTAGCTCAGTGGTTAACGCTCGCTGTAAATATAACAGAACGCGAGTAACCCGGGTTCGATCCCCGCCGGCACCAATGAAATTATTAATTGCAATTTTAAGTGCTGATTTACCACGTGCTCGGCGGTGAAGGAAAACATCGTGAGGAAACCTGCATGTCTGAGGAATAAGAAAAAAAATATTTCGAAGACATGTGAAGTTCGTCAACACGCATCTGGGCAGCGCGGCGGACACTTCCTTGCCCTAAACCCTCTCAGAAATGAGGGGGAGGCCTGAGCCCAGCTGTGGGACGTATATAGGCTGTAACTTTACTTTACTTTACTTATTTAGAAATGTCAATCATCGGGTAATACCAGTCATGGCTGACCGGCATTATCCACACACCCACATCAATTTAATTGTAAAGTTTTCAATTTAAATAGTAAGTGTCATTAAAACTTTTAGTATTTTTTGTTTCAGGGTAATTGCAAAATACTGCCAAAACATGTAAAAGCGCGCATAAAGGCGAAATGGAGCAAAAAATCATTGGAAGCTGCTTTTAAACTAGTTGAAGATGGAAACCCGATAAGAGAAGCCGCCCGATGTACTGGCATTCCATTTTCTACACTACAAGAGAGGCTGAAAAAGAAAAATTTGGATACTCCACAACTGGGAAGAAATACTACCTTTACCAAAGAACAAGAAGAAAGTATGGCCTCTCAAATTAGACTGCTTGCGAATATATTTTACGGGTGTACTGCTATAGAAATAAGGAAGATGGCTTTTAAGTACGCAGAAAGAAATAACATCAAGCACAACTTCAACAAAACTTCAGAATCAGCTGGTAGAGATTGGCTTGAGGGGTTTTTAAAACGAAATAACTTATCAGTACGTTAGGCTGAAGGCACAAGCGATTTTAAATAGAGTTTCTGCTTTTAACAGAGATGAAGTAGGAAGCTTTTTTGACTTGCTGGGAAACTTGATGCAAAAATATAAGTTTCCACCTCGAAACATATATAATGTGGATGAAACTGGCGTAACATCGGTACAGGATTCTGGCAAAGTTGTAGCCGAAAAAGGCCAAAAACGAGTGGACTCTATTACCAGTGGGAAAAGGGGCCGAAATGTTACGGCAGTATGCGCTATGAGTGCCACAGGGCAATACATTCCTCCAATGTTTATTTATCCATGTCAACGGCATTCGACAGCATTGGAAAATGATGGAACACGTGAAGCAGTATATAGGTGTTCGAAAAACGGGTGGATAAACGAAGAGCTCTTTGTAGAATGGCTTAAGTATTTTACGAAATATGCAAAACCTTCGGAAAATGATTCGGTTTTGCTCGTCTTAGATAATCATTCTAGCCACATTTCTTGGAATTCGTATAACTTATGCAAAGAAAACCACATTTTGATGTTGTCTTTGCCATCACACGGATCTCATCGAATACAGCCATTGGATATTTCCATTTATGGTCCCCTTAAAACCGCATATAAGCAGGAATGTAACATATTTATGAAATGCAATTTGGGACGAAAAATTACACAAGGTGACATAGCTTCGCTGTTCAGAAAAGCATTCCAAAGAGTAGCAACAATTCCGAAAGTCGAAGCAGGATTTACTGCTTCAGGGATATATCCTTACAACCCAAATATATTTATCGATGAAGATTTTCTACCAGCTGAGATAATGAACAATAGCGAACTTCTTGATGAAGAGAGGTGCGATCATGATAATCGAATACAAGATTCCCCATCTCTGCTTGACGATTCAAAAGCAACCTTACAAATCTCTCAACCCAACTTAAATGATCACCACGATGCCATATTATCTTCTGAAATGCCTCCTGTTGCATCACGCAACGCAACACTTTCGCCTGCCATTCCACAGCTCGACCTAGATTTCGAAAACCTAGATTCCACAATTAACGATATCTCTCATATTGATTTGCATAATGTAACACCACCAGCTGTAAATGAAACCGAGTCCAATGTCAATTATTACAATCCTATTCCCTCAACATCTGGAATATCTTCAGTCAAAACCCATATTGAAAATATTGAAAAAGTTACTGTGAAGGATCTTCTTCCTTTGCCAAAAAAATCCGAACAGAAAAATATAAAAGCGATGCGGAAACAACATGCTACGGTAATAACAGGAACTCCGAATAAAATAGTTTTATTTGAGAAAGAGCAAAAAAAGTTAGCAAAATTAGCAAAAGCTCAGATAAAAGTTGAAAAAAAAGAAAAATAAAACAGTGGAAATAAAAAAAATATTACAATAAAAAAGGAGAGAACAATGAAAACTACAAAGGTAAAAAAAGTGAACAAGATGGATTATAGTGAAGATGAAACTGATCCTATAAGTGAAGATCTGGATAGCAAAAAAGAAAATAATCGTAAAAAACCAACAAGAATGAAAAGGAATTTGAAGAAAGGTATAGAATTGAAAGAAGTGAAGAGGAAAGTGTTACAGAATGAGTCTATGAACGAAGACAGTACTTCAAACTCTGAAATAGAGATGACAGATTTACGCGAAGACGATGACACGGATTTAGACGATGTCGGGAACAGATGTATGATCTGCGATGACTATAGACGAGACAACGAGTTGTGGTACAGATGTATATTGTGTGGACGTGGGGCCCACTCGGAATGTTCAGGACGTGACTCTGCAAAAGATTATAAATGTGATTTATGCTCCCATTAAGCTTGACTGGTATTAACCAACAACTGACTGGTTTTACCTTACATTGCGTGTAATACCAGTCAAACACGTTTTTTTTTAATGTTTATTATACCAAAACTATGATTACTAGTGATCTGAATTAAAGTGCCATTAATAGTGGAATAATTATATTCGAGATTGTGATTAGTTCTATAAAGATATGTTGATTTATATTCGCTTTGTGTTAATTTTTCTTTAATTGACCGGCATTACCCCATTCTACCCTACAAATAATTGTTCCGGGATTCAAACCCACGGCCCTCAGCGCTATAAATCAATGCTTAGCTACTGCGCCACGGAGCTGTCGAAATTCCTCTTTAAACCATTACTTCAACGGCTATACATGAACATAAATCCGCGGTTTTCGAAAGACAGTCCCAAATCGTAAATTGCAGTGTACACATACTGGATAGAGTGATGAAATGCATTACATGAATGAAGTTGACTGATACAGCTATTGTGGTTAAGGGCTTATTTTTAGCAATGGACTTAATAAAGGCTTTAATAATGACAATGAAGATAAAACACATTAGATTCCATTGTCGTTAAAAGAAACAATCTTCATTTTGAAAGATTAATAAAAAGCAGTTCCTTATCATGGAATTTTTATCCTTTAGCTCATAAATGTGAATTTTTTGATATAAAGCATGATCAAGAAGTTATTATTTTATATTCTTACTGGGACCATTATTTTATTTTTTAATTTATTTAATTATAGCAATAGTATCGCTATAGCAAATATAAAGAACACAACCTTAATAGCAATAGACTGGACGCAACAGGAAATTAACTTACGCCCTCTCGCGTGACAAGTTTATTAAGAATTTTGTTTTTCCTTTTTATTCTTCTCGTTATTGACTGAAATGAATGTTGGAAGGAGACATTTGAAATTGTATATTTTTATTTCTTTTGTTTGAAAACACGGCTGTCAATAAGAAAATATTTCGGATGGTATCAACAATTTTATTAGGAGTTGTTCTTTTACAAAAATGCGTAAAACAACAACTCCTATTAAAATTGTTGATACCATCCGAAATACTTTCTTATTGACAGCCGTGTTTTCAAGCAAAACAATACATTTTTATAGAAGTTTATTTTAAAGTTTTTTTTATAGAAGAGGGGGCAATAGAGCATGCGGCTCACCTGATGGTAAGTGTCGACTGCCCTTGCACTACTACTATACCAGGGGAATTAAGGGTGTGATGTCGGCTTTTTAACTTTTTAAAAGGAGTAAGCTTGTTTCTGGAAGGTCCTTAAGTCGTATAGTCCGGAAAAATCGCCGGTGGTAAGCGATTCCACAACAAATCTTTAATTTTTTGAACTATTCTAAGCCATTGCTTGGCAGTAGACCACCTAGTGTTCCCCTCCCCCAAATGGGTTCTTACCTTGTCGTTGCGCGGGGGGGGCTTAGTAACCGTAGCTTGGTGACCCGTGGTGAATAAAGGCCACATGGCTGACCCGAGGTGAAGAGCCGGCCCGAGGTGGCCACTTCCAGTGGGCTTGGTGAGCCCACTTCGGGCATATGTTGACGGGAGGAGTGCCCTCTCCCTGTTGCAGCTGAGGTGAAGTCACGAACAGGAGGAAGAGGGCTATTGGTATGGCAATGCGTTACTCACCCTGTCCTCCATGACTCGGACGGGGCCGCACCGTTGATGCGGTGTTGATGGGGCTGCGGGCGGAGAGAAGTATCGAGATTGCAAGGCGCCGTTCTCCCTACCCTCCGTAGCCGTATCTTGGTTGGCGGTGCAGCCATAGATCAGATCTGCCGCTGGGGTCAGGAAGCCTAGAGCTTCCGAGTACGCTTTTTTCCTTGGCCCCAAGGCCTCCGTGTATCGGGTTTGGAGGAAGGCGCGCGTTGTGTTCCTGGTGTGCCTTAACTGAGACGCAAATGGGTAGGAGTAATCCTCTCCCGAGGAGGGGCTGCCAAGGGTCGGCCGGTCCTGGTTGGGCCGCGGATGTGTGCGAAAGCATTCCCGAGGCCCTGCTAGTATGCGACGATGGTGCAACACCATGGGATTTTAGGCGATGCGACTCCGAAATAACTCTTCCAAGCCTTTGCAAGGCACCCGCCTGTGTATGCTAGTGGTAAGTGATGATGCAATCAAAAATGATAAAGCACATTGACTCAGCTTAACAAAAGCCCCTTAAAGATACCTGTATTGTAATCGAATGGAAATACAGATTCTGGCAAAATATTCCACTCCTTTCTTGTACGCATCACGAACAATTAAGTATACCATTTGGTTCGAATATGTGGGAAATCGAGAATGAAGGGGTGGATACTGTGACATAAAACCACAAGAAATAAAACCACATACAATTTGGAAATTATTTATTTATTTATTTATTCACAAATTGCGTTACATGTGACTTAGAGACTAAACAAAACATGCAAGTTCTAACAATCACGTGCACCTCGAAAGGCATAGCAATGAACAGGAGAGGGGCAGACACTTAAACATTCTTTTTTCTCAATGTATTCATTAATTGAATAATAACTTTTTTTAATAAGTATCTCTTTTAAAGATCTTATGAATTTATTAATCTTATGAATTTATTATTTTATGTATTCCGGCAATTTATTATAAATTTTTATTGACATCGAGTAAGGAACTGTACTGTGTAATTTTAATTTAGATTTTGGTTGCAAAAGGTTATTCTTATAGCGAGGTACGTTGTGTCAGGGCGCGTCTATGATTTTGGTGTAAAAACTAATTAAGTTTTTTTAATGTGTTTTTTTGAAAAAAAAAATATTTCCATACGCTTGGATACTGATTCTAATAACACACTTAACGGAAACCACAGGGTTTTTGTTACATATTGTATAGCAGGTGGTGTCGATCATTGTACATGAACAACTACAACACCAGCAAATTTGCAGGTATGATGCTGGCCTTTTAAAAAGGAGTAAAGGGGAAAACACACAAAACCCCACTTATTTTTTAAAGATTTCTGAATGGTGTCGCTCCGGAAAAATTGACGGTGGTTAATGATTAGACAAATAAAGTACCTGATTTAGGTTTTAATAAAGTCAATTCCGTAGTTTTGTTTTTTTTTTAACATAAAAAATCGAACTTTAATAAATGACATCTTAATAAGTTGATTTCAATAAATGATAATTTGATATATCGAAGACAAAGTGGTGAGGTGATAGTGTGTAATGTAAGTGTAACCCATTATTCGGATTCGGTCTTACACTACGCACTAGTGTGTGTAGTGCACGCGTACTATTACGTATTCAAAGCCTATTTATGATATAAATGGCCTTACTCATAAAATGGACGTCAATTTAAGAATTGATTAAAGTTTGCTCTGCTTCCGTTCATAAAATCGCAATAAAAAGGAACATGTATAGAGATAATTGATAATTAATTGAAGTTTGCGCTACATACTGTGAGTATATAGCGCAAACTTCAACCATACTAAGTTAGGTCGAAAGTGATTATTAAGGCATTACCGCTTTTGATAAAATACTTCCTATGAGGCAATCTATGGGGCAAGCCTATGTTCAGAAGTAGAAATGAACGGACATTATTTTATTTTATACAATTTTATTCCTTGTCAAGTTTTCAGTTTAAAACTTATTTTCTCATAATAATTCTAAAATTAAGCTGATGCTTTAAGTCTTTTGTTAAATAGAACATTGAGACGATCATAAATGTAAGCACTTCCAGTTTTTAACATTTGGCGTACAAAATCATCGGCCGACAGTTCTTGGTAGCACTCAGAGAGAGACGTTAAACTGATTTACGACAAGGAAGCGACTGACTTCGCGGAACATCGTGTGCGTATGAATAGAGTTAAGAGAAAATATGATGTTATAAGAGGTACACTATCAGTGAGTCAACAGAGACTAAAGAAAGTGATAGAAAGGTTAAAACTTTCGAGATTATACGTGAATTATTTGCTTGAGGATCAGAAACATAGGTCATTATACCTACTTTACTAGCAACGTTATATTATGGGAATGTTCTATACATTTTATAGTACACTTTATAAGAGCTACACTATCACCTAGTCACCAGAAATTTACGAAAGAGATAGAAAGGTTTAAACTATCGAGATTATACGAGAAATATTTACTTGGGGATGAGAAACATAGACCATTCTGTCTACCTTACTAGCGACGTTATATTATGGGAACGATCTATACAGTTTATAGTATATGTTATAAGAGATCAGCTATTACTGAGTCACCAGAGACTTAACAAAGTGATAGAAGTGTTAAAACTATTGAGATCACACGTGTTGTCACAATTACTACTTTGGGATCAGAAATATAGACCGTTAACGTTGCTAGTTATATTATGAGTATGCTTTAGCAATCACTGGACACCTGCAATGGATTTTAAACAAAGGTCAGATGAGTCAGGGAGTCAGATGGGTCAAAAGGTCAGGTGACAAACCTTGAGGTTTGCCTATTCACTACACTGAAAACACGTGCTACTGATAATTTTTTTTCATTATACTTTGTCGTTATGTTTTATCTTTTCTTGCGTTGTGTTTTTTGTAAAACACAAAGCAAGAAAAGATTGAGAAAGATTTATTATTTATTTAATTAACAGTTATATACACTTTCATGTTCAATGTTAAGGACTTAATACCAAAAGGAATTCTCTTCAAGTCAGCCCATAAACCTAGACAATATAAACAGGGCCATATTTTAATAGATATAATTAGTGAAAAAGTGAAATAAATACAAAAATACTAATATGTACATAAGTCATATAATGTGTTTGTATTTATTTCAATTTTTCACTAAACATATTTAAAGGCCTTGTTTGTTTCGTATAACGTATTGCTTCACGATCAAGTTGAGCCGACATTAAGTTGACAATTTTTTTAATATTTTTAGTATCCGTGCTAAATCCGCAACATGCTCAACACATTTAAATAAAAATTCTGCTTAAAATTATTATATAAGGTAGCCGTGATTAACTATGACGTTAGAACCTTAGTACCCTTAGTAGTAGTAAGTTAATTCACGCGATAAAATCCGTAAAAATAGTTTTATTTAAATGTGTAGAGTTCGCGTAGACATAAGAAATTAAGAAATCACAACAAAGTAGCAATCTCCTCGGTGTTATTTGTGTCTTGCAATTTTTCGTTGAGAATGCTTCACAGAGATGATTGCATTTGGTTGAGGAGATAGGTAATTTGTTTTTTTTAATAGTATTAGGTGACAAATGAGCACGTATTCCACCTCATGGTAAGTGGATGCTGTGGCCCATAGACATCCACATTTATTCGCAACTAAGGATCAAAATGCAAATGCGTCGTCACCTCTGGGGACTAAGATGGAATGCCTCGATTCCAGCAAGAGTTGGTGATAGACTTTTAAAAGTCTTTCACGATCAATACACGCAGTTACGCGAAACGCATCATTTTTCTTTTCGTAACTGCGTGCGTGGACTTTTTGAGACTTTTATAAGTCTATCGCCGAATTGCCTATCTCACCAACCTTTCTTTATCATAAGATCAGATTGTAAGGAAGATAACGTTATCACATTGCGAATGTTTAAAAGTTATTCAATTAAAGCCAAATTGCCGTATCTTTAAAAAACGTGATCTCGAAAGAAAGCAATCGAAATGTCCATTAGACATTGTATTTTAAGACGTGCAATAACAGCACAATCAGAGAACAAATAACGAAGTGCAACGATCGGGAGTGGAAGTTAAAGGACATTGTATGCCAGATCACAAAGAACACCTTGCGCTTTACGACGAGCAAAGTATAGGTTTATTGAGTTTACAATGGCCATTGAAACGTTTCGCAATTTTGTAGACACAGTGCTGGAGTTATTTTTAAGTGTTTTTCTTCGTTTTGAACAGTGTTTATATTAAACTTTATGAATGGAACAAAAACACGAAACGTGTTTAAATCAGTGAATGGTTACTGCATGGATTTTTAAGATGGCGTCGTTTTTCTGCTACTGGATTCGACAAATAACGACACATGTTGTTTTCTTTCATGATGGAATACCCGTTCTGAGATCATGGGATCTATACAGCTTTTGATTTGACCAAATCCCGAATCTTATAAATTTGATAAATAACATTCCAGAAACCTCAATAGCTTTAAGTTATATTAATAGCATTGATTAGTTTTCCTTTATAATGTTTAGGCAAAAAGGAGCTTCTACATAGTTACTAAAACCTGTCACACGTATCACACGTATTTAAAAGTATTTAAAAATACTTAAAAGGAAAACTCGAATATACATACTGCTATGATTGTAAATTTATTGTTACAAAATAAACATTTTGAATTTGAATTTTTGAATTTAGAATCTAGATTTTTTTTATTCAATTTTAATAGTTCCGATTAAAATGTAGATTGATAGTCGGTTGTATTTTTTAATCTATCGTAAACCACTGCTTCGCTCCTATTGTACGTAAGTAGAGATATAGCCAAAGATGCTTATGTATACTGACTTAGATTATAACATTTCAGATTACAATAATTCAATCTTGCTTTGAAGATAAACAGATGATAACCAGAAAATGATTTCATTCGGAAGCAAGCATTTCGGTTCGAAAGGTATGTCGACACAAAGTTGTCCCGTTGTGGCCTATTTGTGCACTAAGCAGCCCTAACAATGGATTAATTTATTAATATATAAATTACTTATATAAATTAATGTATTTATTTCTATTTCTGCCTCCTTACAATAGCACGCCCTCTGCTGTGTTCCAGTATAATATAGTAGGAAAATAAATGTAGGTTGTGAGACATTTTGTCTTCTTCCGCTGGGGAGATGCCACGTCTTGTTTGAAGTGATTGCAGATTTTCCTTAATTTCAATATTTAAAATAATTGCAAAAAAAGGTTCGAGTGACAGTCTCGTACCGGTAGGTGAAGTGTAGGGCGTCTCCCCACTAGACGAAGTGACGTCCTGGTAAGACATGCAGGAAGTCGATGGATGCAGGTGGCTCAGGGCCGTGCTTTGTGGCATTGCTTGGGGAGGCTATGTTCAGCAGTGAACTTGTGAAGGGCTGTAATGATAATAATTACCATTAGGTGCAGTGTTAGTAAATTAGTCACAAATCTGATTGTGTGAAAAAATAACCCGTAAGTTTATACAACAATTTTTTTATCTAGAATGGAAGTCACAAACGAGCACACAGTCCACCTGATGGTAAGTGGATGCTGTGGCTTATAGACATCTACATTTATCTTTTTTCGTTGTCACCCTAGAGGGCTAAGATGGAATGCCTCGTTTCCAGTAAAAAGTGTCTCCGGTTCTCTACACTCACCATACAAAACGCAACAGCATTAATTTGTTATTTTACGTTGTTGGTATTCTGTGTGACCGTGGTTCTTACCCGGTCGAGCCCACGCATTCGTGCTGTAACCATAATATTGCTGGAGCGTGGCCTTATTAAGTAAGCGAAATTTTCCTATGTAAGCGTATACTGCAACAACAAAATAGATAAAACTAGTATAAACGCATGTTGTGTGTTGTGTAGTCGTCTTAAATATTTAAAACATAATTTAGATAAAATCTAAAAGCATACAACACAACAAAACTTAGGTACAAAAATAGCGTCTACTTAGGACGAAAGCTGCTGAAACCACAGCGATAACCGCAACGCTGATTTTCAGTACACGCCGTAGACGGGGTTATTAAACTAAATTAAACTCTAATATTAAAATATTGACGTACATTTATACTTTTTTTTTATTAGCCTGAAATTACAAACTTGCTACAGACAGTCTACCTGATGGTAAGCGGTTACTGCATCTTATAGACACTGGCAACTAACATCAAAGAACGGTACATATATCACCTCTGAGAACTAAGACGGAATGCCTCACATCTTATTATACTGGTTCACTACAACCTTCTGACCAGAACACGGCAGTGCGAGCTATTTGACGGCAGGATAAGATTGAGAGGATGGTATCCACTTATGGCGGACTGAGATATGTAGAAGTTCTAACTCCTAGTAAAAAATATAAAAAAACTATATAGATATAAGGAAACGGTACATAGTTTCCTATTATGTTATTTTTTCACTTACCCGTGTATGTCAATGCGTTGCAGTGCATTTTTTTTCGATAACATTCACGGGTGCGCACACTACAACTCATTTAATCTTTATCGTAATCGGATAAATAGTAGAGAATAGCATATGATTTTTTTTTAGAATAAGGTTGGCAAAGAAACGCAAAGTTCACCTGATGGTAAGTAAATGCTGTTGCCCATAGACATTTAGAATAAACATAAGAATCAAAACGCAGATGCGTTTTCATCCCTGAGAACTAAGATGGAATGCCTCGTTTCCAGTATCCGGTCTCCGGATCTCTATACTCACCATACGAAACACAGCAGTATTAAGCTGCTATTTTACGCCGGTATTCTGTGAGAGCGTGTTCGCTCCCAGATTGAGCCGACGCATTCGTCCTACAATCATAATATAGCTGCAACGTGGCTCTACCACGTGGAATAAGTAGCTCTACCACGTATAATATGTGACAAATAAGCAATTAGTTTTATATATTGTTGCAACAGAAACGAAATTAAAATCCAACTGCTTGTTTATTACTGACTCATCTCTTGAATATACACGCTACACACTATACAGTGATATTTTTATAAGTGATATGATTTCATGCGTCCTTAAACTGGCATCCTCCCCAACGATATTCTTAATTAGTATCTCAAGATTTAGTGAGCAATTAGTGACTGAAGAAAAAAATTGTGACTTATTACTTTAGGAGATATAGCCCTTTTTGGGAGGATTATATCCTAAATTCAAGATGACCTTTCCTCGAAAACACCATTATTACTTGCTTTAAAGATGTGATCTCTATTTTAAGATTTTGTGACCAATGGGAGACTTTTATTTACCAAGTTCTTTAAACTTAAAGAACTGCAAAACATGTTTTTTCGTTGTATATAAGTAAAACAAATTGGAACTATTCGATAATTTAAATCCGTAAAGATTTACGCATAATTTTGACTTAGTACATTTTTATTCATTAATTCATAAAATGTCTACCATAAGTCCCCTGCCGAACATATGATTCCCGCATAGGTTACCTCATGCAATCAAGTGTGGCAACTATTATAAATATCCCCCATTTGCAATGATTGCCACGCACGACAGGCGTGTTGGAAACCGCTGTATGTTATTATTAGTAAAATGTACTCTCTTACGTCACAACTACTTGGCGAAGTTTAAAACTACAAATAAAAATAATAAAAAACCTTTTTAAAATCAAGGTTTTATTTAAATGCTCTAAAAAGAAGAAAAAAAAATATTTTTGGAACATTTAAATAAAAAGAAGAACCATACCCATCAATTTATTACATCACCTAATTTATATGATATAAAGTTTGTCACGAGATTTAACTATTTTATGAAAAACGATATTTTGTCTTTCATAAAATAGTTAAATTTTAATAAAGTATTAGTAAAATTTTATATATATTATATAATATCTTATATTATATGATATTATGTAATATATATTATAATATATAGATGTAATTATTTACATACCAATAAATTATGCCAATATCAAGTTACATACTATATTCTTGTTTATGTACAAAGGTTATATATAAAGAAGATATGAAATATATAAATTGGCCATTTTGGATTTAGAATGACGTCGCTTAGCTAACCATGTATTATCATCCAAAAATGTATATCTACGTGTTATACGTGGTAGAGCTACGCTGCAGCTATTATGGCTGTAGCGTGGATGGGTCGGTTCGACCGGGGAAGGACCACGCTCTCCCAGAATACCAGCGTAAAATAGCAGCTTAATGTTGCTGTTTTTCGTATGATGATAGTAGGGAACCGGAGACCCGTTTTACTGGAATCGAGGCATTCCATCTTAGTCCTCAAAGGTGACAACGCATCTGCATTTTGATTCTTAATCAAGGTTAAGTGTAGATGTCTATTGGCCATAGCATCCACTTACCATCAAGTGGACTGTGTGCTCATTGTCACCGTTATCCTATTAGAAAAACTAAATATGTTTGCAAAATTTTAGATCAATTGTTTGAGGATAACTGCTTGTTAAAATTCAGTTGCAAGATTTGTCCCTTACAAACATTCAAACATGGCAAGTTAAATAAATGCTTCTAAAAATATATTTTAGCATTGAATAGCTAATCATAAGATCGTAAAGATAATATGCGTAGTAGAACTGTAATAGATTGATACTTAAGTATAATATAATTATTATATTATATATTATATTAATTAAGTAAAACTGACTGCCTCGTTGGTCTAGAGGTTGTAGTAGTGCGACTGCTGATCAAGAGGTCCTGGGTTCGAATCCCCGGTCGGGCCAAAAAAATCAATTATTGAGTTTTTCTGTCAAGATATTCTCAGTAGCTGCCCGGAGTCAGGAAGTTTGCGGTGTTTCACTCCCGTGCCTCAGAAAGCACGTAAAGCCGTTGGTCCTACGCCTGATCTCTCTCCGGTCGTGTCAGTTTACCGTCCCATCGGATTATGAGAGTGAGGGAATAGAGAGTGCATCTGTGCTTGCGCATACACTTGGGCACCATAATCCTGTCTAGCCGATGACTAGCCTCCGTTTAGGCTGGCCGCCGTGACCGAAATTCGGTCTGGAGGACATTATTATTATAATTTTAAAAAATAATTATGGACGAGTTTTCTGAAGTTATATACATATATACGTTTGTATACTGATTTTGATAACGCACTTGGGAGCTACAGTGTTTTTGTTACATGTTGTGTAGGTGCAATATAGGGCCCTATTACCTGCGTGTGAAACGTGATGAAATAATTATCGGTACCGATATTTGGAGCATTCGTAGGTGGTAATTAAAAGTGCACGTCTGCGGTTAACTAGGTCTCATTCACACCTAAGCACCCCAGGCTGTGTGTCAAGCAATACTTGAAATTTCTCACGATTTCACCAAATAAAATCATGTGCCACTTGTAAATATTGATCAATCGCTCACCGGTCTTAGGTTCGAGTATAGTGTAGTTTGATTGGTCCGAATATGTTGTAAATTGTGTAAATTTATTTTTGTCTCTAATTCTGTATTAAAACAAATTTTATATCTGTTGGCTTAAGGAGAGAGTTTATTTTTGTTATTAATTCAACTGTACTGATTTTTAATAGGAAATATGAATTGCCCATAAAGATAAATAAAAAATAAACCAT